GTACGATGAGACGGTACATTAGCTATGCATGGACTTCAAGAAAGCCTATTATTCAGTTAGGAGGGAAGTATTGTACAAGAGTCTGATAGAGTTCGGAATACCCCTGAAAATAATTAGTCAGATGAAATGTGTCTAAACGAAACGTATAGTAAAGTGCGTATAGGTGAATATTTGTCTGATAATTTTCCTATCCAGAATGATCTAAGACAAGGAGACGCTTCATCGCTGCTACTTTTCAAATTATGCTTTAGAATATGCAATTAGGAAGGTCCAGGAAAACCAGGTGAGACTGAAACTAAACGGAGCACATCAGCTGTTGGTCAATGCTGATGATGTGAATCTACTGGTGATCATATAGATACCATAAAGAAAAAGACGCAGACTTTAATTGACGCTGGTAAGGAGGTTGGTCTAGAAGTAAAGACAGAGAAACCTAAGTATATGTTGGTGTCTCGTTACCAAACCGCCGGGAAAAATCATGACATAAAGATAAGAAAGAGATGTTTTGAAAATGTGGCACAGTTCAGATATTTGGGAACAACGATAACAAATCAAAACCTGATCAAGGAGGAAATTAAGGGGAGACTGAACTCGTGCAATACTGGCTACCATTCAGTTCAGAACATTTTGTCTTCTCGTCTGCTATCCATAAACATAAAAATTAGAATATACAAAACTATAATTTGGCCTGCGGTTCTTTATGGGTATGAAACTTTGTCTCTGACATCAAGGGAGGAACATAGACTGAGGGTGTTTGAGAACAGGGTGTTGAGGAGAATATTTGGACCGAAGAGAGATGAAGTGACAGGAGGTTGGAGAAAACTGCATAATGAGGAGCTTCATAACTTGTGCTCTTCTCCAGATATAATTAGAATGATCAATTCAAGGAGAATGTTGTGGGCAGGGCATGTAGCACGAATTGGAGATGGGAGGAATGCCTATGGGATATTGATGAGAAAGCCAGAAGGGAAGAGGCCACTAGGAAGACCAAGACGTAGGTGAGTGGGCAATATTAAAATGGATCTTAGAGAGATAGAATGGAATAGTATGGATTGGACTGATCTAGCTCAGGATAGGGACCAGTGGACGGTTCTTGTGAACAAGGTGATAAACATTCACGTTCCATAAAATACTAGGAACTTCTTGAGTAGCTGCAGAATTGGCGGGTTTTCAAGAAGAGCTCAGCTCCATGAACATAGAGAGGGAGAGAGAGGGGGGGAGAGAGAGGAACAATTTAAAAGTAATTTTAACATATATTTACTTACTTTGTTACTTATGAAGCTGAGCCCTTCTGGAGGAGCCGACAATTCTGCAGCTACTCAAGAACTTCCCAGTATTTTATGGAATGCGAATGTTCATCATCTTGTTCACAAGAACCTTCTACTGGTCCCTATCCTGAGCTAGATCAGTCCAATCCATACCATCCCATTCTATCTCTCTAAGATCCATTGTAATATTGTCCACCCACTGACGCCTTGGTCTTCCCTGTGGTCTCTTTCCTTCTGGCTATCCCACCAATATCCTATATGCATTCCTCTTCTTCCCATTCGTGCTACATGACCTGCCCACCTCATCCCCCTTGACTTGATCATTCTAATTATACTTGGAGAAGAGTACAAGTTATGAAGCTCCTCATTGTGCAGTTTTCTCCAACTTCCTGTCACTTCTCTTCGGTCCACATATTCTCCTCAACACCCTGTTTCCATACACCCTCAGTCTATGCTCCTCCCTTAATATCAGAGACCAAGTTTCATACCCATACAGAACCACAGGCAAAATTATTTTCTTATATTTTAATTTTTATGTTTTTGGACAACAGACGAGAAGACATAAGGTTCTGGACTGAATGGTAGCAAGCATTACCCGAGTTCAATCTCCTCTTAATTTCCTCCTGAATCAGGTTTCGATCTGTTATCGTTGTTCCCTAATATCTGAACTGTGCCACATTTTCAAAACATCTGTTTCTTATCTTTATTTCATGATTTTACCCGGAATATTGGTGATGAGACACCAACATATATTTAGGTTTCTCTGTGTTAACTTCTAGACCAACCTCAATTTTAACATATACGTATATATACTCAATATTTATTCTTTGAGACATACATATGTCGGTTCTATGCTGTGCAGTTCCTCAACTAAGTTGTATAATTCTATGCAGAAATCAAACACAATATCTAATTGTTAAGGCTCGATTTCATTCGTGTGAAATATTGCGAGGAATTTTCCACAGAGAAGACCATGACATTTGCAAATGTATTGGAAGGTATAATCATTCAGTTACAATGTAAACAGCTCACGAAACCATCCAGAACAATGACGTAAACAATTAACCTAGTATCCTTTGTCACAATTTTAAGTTCTGAAATTATGGTGTACCAGATTTTCAAAGAGTAAATAAGTGTATACCTTTCGGCCTCATGAATATTATCTATCTGAAAGACAAAATTGGACGAATATTCTTAAAATTCTACGATGAAGTGCAGTCACTGTTAATGGGAAATTTGCCCTTCGCAACTGCTGCGATTACGTGTCTGGAATCAGCACGACTAAGCAAACCGGCGTTCGTAAGCATAAGTGCATTGGGAAAATGGGTGATAGGGGACCCCCCAACTATATCGACGCTTAAGAGAACTTGTAAATAAGTTAGTCGGTCACGGAAGCTGAGTGGATTGAAGCGTGTACTGTCTTAGCTCTCTCGAAAGCCGGGATCATGGGTTCGAATTCCACACAAGGATGTTTGCCATGTGTTTGTGTTTATTCTGTGTTTGTATTATCCTGTAATTAGGTAGAGGCCTTCAGACGAGCTGATCACTTGTTCAAGGAGTCCTACCGACTGTAAAATGATCAAGATGAAGAAAAACTCAACACTCTGAAGCATAAGAGGAACGGATTAAGTAAGGAAGTAAGTTACCTGTCATTTCAATGAGCACTGCAATGACGTCAGGCAAAAAGAGGCGTGTCTTAATAATCTGGAAGCTGTGAAACTGAATTCTGATGTTTTTGCAGCCGTATCCAGCGAGTGCTGATTGTTTGTTGCGGAAACAGCTGCTTCCTTTACTTGTGAACACAATTCGGGAACCCCTTATATAGTGTAAGTTTTTTATTATTGCTAGTGGGGTGGGACTAAGTCCCTTGTACTGCGGCCACTTCTGGCCTATTGTACCAGCCTCAAATGATAGGTGAGGGTGGAGCAATTGGTGGAATGAAGATTGGCAGGGGAAACCGAAGTACTTGGAGAAAACCTGCCCCATCGCCACTTTGTCCACCACAATTCCCACTTGACCAGACCCGGGATCGAACCCGGGCCGCCGTGGTGGGAAGCCAGCGACTAACCTCTTGAGCTACGGCGCGGCCTAAACAGCTGCTTTCTTTACTTGTGAACACAATTCGGGAACCTCTTATATACTGTAAATTTAGTCGTGTTTTGAAGCAGTGGTTTAATCTGTGTTTCAAGACGCTTGGAGATCTTGATTTCGGCTGGCCTAACCCTCCACTAGTTCGCTGCAATGCGCTAGGATCGCGTCTTACTGTACTCCCGAACTCGCCTGGCGTCTCACCGGTTCCGAACACTATATGCCACTTTTACGCTGACAGTGAAACTCAGACTTTATCTTTCAAGCTTGCGGCCGCCGGTTATTGCACATCATTAATACCGAAATGTTCCCTGAATTCTACAGCTGAGCAGGCGCTTAGCGATTTTAGAGGAACCGGGTTTGAGGAAGGGGAATCTGGAAGCTTCGACAGGCATAAACTCTTACGCTGTCAGGTTGTTCTGCAACCTTTTGTACTTTTTCCGCTCTGTCGTTGGAAACGTTGGATATTGTTTGCTGACTTCGTTTCAGATCTTTACAATTCATACTGGTCTTATTAAGATGATCCACCCTGAAAGATGACAATGCTCGTATCATCAGCAACAATGACCTGTATTTGTCATGGACAATTCCCTGGAGCACAGTGTTTGTCCGGCACCTGATCTAGTGTTCAGTACATCGAAACGTTGAGTGCTAATTGCTTAGATTTCATCACAGACAAATTCTTATTTTGCAGGGCACACTATGATCGACTAGAGACGCACATCAATCCATTGACGAAGCAGCTACTGAAAGGACCCAAAAATAGACGCTTGAAAAGACGTCTTCCAATTGACCTCAAGTGAATAACGGAGGCTCCTTCGGTGGAAGGACCCTCATCCTGTCATAGTCGGGCTCAGTAGCCCAATGTCACCACAATAGCTTATAGAATATGATAATTCTGAATGCTATTTAAGTAACAATGAAAAAAAAATTGCAGGCTCATGCCGGTGAATGCGCACGTGATGCAATGCGCATGACACCAAATTATATAAATTCTGAAGAGTTCTGACGATGGTGGATGACACAGAATTACTGGAGTTTTGGACTATTTCCGTTGTCAGGAATTTTAGAGAATAGAGGACAAAACGTTTCGGAAACTGGATCTGTTTCCGTCTTCAGGTGAGAAATGAAGACACCTACTCAGATGGGCCCCTAAGAAAGAGCTCTTTCTGAGAGGCCCAACTGAGTAGGTGTCATCCTTTCTCAACTGAAGACGGAAATAGATCCAGTTTCCGAAACGTCGTGTCATCTATTAACTAGAATTCCGGACGACGGAGAAAGTTCAAAACCCCAGTAATTCTGTGACCAAATTATGTGTCAGTATTGCTTCGCTTTCCATGCAAACATTGGTCTATGGGGCATTTTGTGGACTGTGCATGTGTCAATGTTTGTTATACACGTAATTCCATTTACTACACCTACTAACTTTCCATGTATCCCTTCGGATACTACGAGCATGTAATCAGTTTTTTCGCTTTACTGTTCTGGAAACGGGTCGTTTGAACTGCCTTATGATTTCTTAAATTGAATGTGTTCCTATACTAGGGCTCTGATATGGCCTCAAACCTTCATTACCATGAGTAACTTGTGGGGAACTTGTTATTTTCTTTAGTGTCATTTTCCGGTCATATATTATTCAGATATCAGCCAGTTATGCTGGCTACGATTATCATTTCATTATAGAAAGCTGAATAGTGAGGTTGCTGGGTTATGTAACAACGGTCTCATGCACAACAGGATTGCAGGTAATGAGATTGTGTGTATTTCTTGCTAAACTGCGTGGTTTACATTTCATTCGAGCTATTAGTTCTTCATATGTAAAGTAATTTCAATTTGGAAAATCGTTTCTATCGATCGCCCTGCACATTTCATCATCAAAATCACGCAATATATTTTGTTAAAACTTTGTTTTCGCAGGAGTAGGCATGTAAACTTTTCCCACGCCGAAGTATAATAATACATTTTTGCTCTATACTTGTTTTGTGGTTCAGAAAATTTGTCGAAAATGATTCCTCGACTTTTGCACAATGTAAATGTCTCAATGAATACCGTGACTTCGTTACTTCTAGCGCTTTAACGATTAAGTTTTTTTTTTCATTTGTACAATTCATATTTTGATCAGGTTAACCACCCATAAATGTTCTATTGACTAGGACAGTGTACGTGTCACTACCTCAATCTGCAGGTGTTCTTGAGGCCTTTGTGTCCTGCAGAGTTTACGTATGATTTAGTAAACTGTACTGGAATCTTCCGCACTTCCATATTTGTATTACATAACCAGGATTCTGCATATTTCACAGGTTCCTAGTCCTTATAAACAGATAAAATAGTCAGTAACTCTGAAGCTAATTACTCTTCAAAATCGCGATTCATTTCTCCTTGGCCTCTATGCGAGTTACAGTGCTGAAACTACACTGCATGTACGCCTACTACACGCACTTCTCCTAACCACATCGAAAACTCTGTGGAGTACGGTGTGTGTTTAATTCTTTTTTTATTTTTTTCACTGGCTCTATAGCCCCTTTCTTTCCTGGCCTCTGACTTTCAGTTTCATGATCATTTTACAGATGGTAGGACTCCTTGGACGAGTGATCAGCTGGTTGCAAGGCCCCTATATAAACACTGGCCAACACAAACACAGAAGGAACGCATACATATTACAAACATCCATTCCTTTTGTGTGATTCGAACCCACGATTCCGGCTTACGAGCGAGTGAAGACAGTTCATGCCTTAGACCGCCCAGCTACCTTGTGTATTCTATACAGGTTACACTCTGTAAGAAGTTTAAATAATTTAATATATATTTTCATCAGCTGCTGGTGCACGATTGGTTATGTTCTACAGGTTCTTGATAACAGAAGTGAAATAGGCGATTTAAGAAATGTTATGTGTCTTCCTTACGTTGGAATATGGCCTGAATTATTTCCCATTCAGAAATACGTCTTTTCTTCAAGGCCTTCAGAGATTATGATAATTGTGTCACTTTAAATTTAAAAAAGAAAGAATATTTCGGATACATTTTATAAGATTGAATGCGTTAATTAATCTGTGTCCTTATCTATGGCCTGGCAAGAATGCAAATGCTGTTGAAGAGCCAAAATCCGATCACTACTGCTTTATTCGAAACGCAATTTTTAGAATTTTAAAGTCATACAGCCCTTCATAACGCACACGCGTTAAGGCGATAAATCTTATTTGCATTATGTGACACGGAATGAACGAGATAATTACATTTTGACAAAGACTTACTATCAAAGGCAGGGAACTCAGGAAACGTGTGGACAGTCACGTAATATCTATATATATATAATGACACGCCCACATGCATATACTGTAGGTCACGGTAGTCTAACGCATAAGCTGTATCCTCTCGCTCGGGAGCAGGGATCGTGGGTTCGAATCCCACACAGGGCATGGATGTTTGGTATGTTTATGTATTTATTCTGCGTTTGTGTTGTCCTCTGTTTAGGTAGTGGACTTGCAACCAGCTGATCACTCGTCCAAGGAGTCCTACCGTCTGTAAAATTTTCATGAGACTGAAAATCAGAGGTCAGGGCCCAATGGGGCTGTAAAGCCAGTGAAAAAATATGGGTATATACTAGTAATCTGTGACATGCGAGAATCGTTGGAAATTTGACGTTCTCGGTCCTTCACTTAGTGGACGGCGTATGTTCCGAGCGGGTGTAGTTAAAAAAGATAAAATTTTCTTCAGTTGTGAGCTCGTTGCTAAGCAGTCTCTCAAAATGTAATATTCTTTCGTAGTACGGTGAGCGGAAGTAATTCATTTTCCAAAGTACACGTGTCTGTGAATGCACCTGAAGTTAAGCGAAACTGGAACACGATTTCTTTTGTTAGATACATATTTAAACTTATCATGCCTTACTTACATTACTGTCAAAGGAACGTGACGTTCCTCGCCGCGGATTGTATAAATTTCTACTCCAAAGATGAAATTATATTATTGTCACGTATTGTGCGTATATCGCGACAAACAACTTCACGCCGTATTTAATATAGCGAATTTTATTTCACATTCGCACTTACAATCACCCAAATTACAGTTTCACAATTACTGCTATCTGCAGTATCACAAATACTACACTCCAAATGCCAGAATACAACTGACTAGTTGCTGGCTAACTCGGAACTAACTCGGAGGTAGCTCGAGGACTAACTGTGAATAGCCTTCGCTGCGCCTCATGTAGCCTCGATCGGACAATACAGAAAACGGCCACGTAATAAGCACCCTTGTTGCCTGGCGCTGTGTTGCTAGTAACGCTAGCGGTAGTAACCGCTGTTACCACCGTCGTCTCTCGCAATCCTGTTTACCCGTGCTGCCCTTGGTGACGTCATCGCTGTTGGCTCGCTTTGCATAGCGACCAGGATGCTAGGACTCGGCTAACTTCGGCTCACTTCGGCTTCGCTCGGCGCATCACGGCTGGCGGGGGTGGGGGAGGGGCGTCATCCATAGCTCAACATGTCACATTATTATAGGCTGTTTGTTTTAGTGCTAGATATTTTGTAGCTCAGAGAAAGTGTTATTTTGAAATTACTGATGGACTGATTTCAATATAATTAGTTCTCCTAAATAGTAAAAATTTTAAAGGAAGGCTCAAGTGACTATACAGAGTGTTTCACGACTTTAGGACACAACTGCAGAAGGTGATTTCTTAGGTCTTTGTGATCAAAAATGTTCATATAAACATGCGTCCGATTTTGGGCGGTTACGGAGTTATGACCATTTTAAACTCAGAATAGAAGGTAACGATTACTGACAATAAACGGAACAAAATAATAAACCAGCACAATACATGATGCATTTAAAGTATGAATGTAAAGTTAATTTCGTGAAATTACCTTTAATTTCAATTGATTCGTGCTTAAAGCTGATTTTCGAAAATGCCACCGCCGGCCGCAACACAGGCTGCCTCTCGGTTGTGAACCGCGCCGGACATACCAACCCACCACGCCTTAGATACCTCTCAAGTGTCGAGATAACGAGAACGCTCTGTCTGTAGCTGGCTAAAAATAGCGACCCGCCAGATGATAGACGCGGTTCACACGAGGGCGCGTACGGGAATGAAAAAACGGTCATAACTCCGTAACGGTCCAAAATGTGACACATGTATGTATGAACATTTTTGATCACAAAGACCTAGGAAATCACCTCCTGTAGTTATACCCTAAGGTCGTAAAACACTCTGTATATGTGACAAAGCAAGAATGGCAATTTATTTGCCATAATCTCCTAACTGAAAAAGCCAGTGATTCTGAGTGGATACAAATTTCACTAATGAGCAATAGAGGGAATACTGGCAATGAAAATTCATAATATTGTACTTAAAATAAAGATTACTTTACCGACGGGAGCCCTAATCTTAAGGAAAGTAACAGAATAAATTATAACAGAGAGATGGAGGGTACAACCATCAGGAATCTGTAGACGTGTAGCTCAGAAACATTTCAAGATTCAGACTTATACATCGCCTGCAGCTTCAAGATATATGAGTGAAGCAAAATAGAAATTCTCTCTCCCAGCTACACGATTATACAACGCGCGAATCAATATCCTTCATAGTCACAGACGTGAAAATCTCGGACCCAGCAAGAAATATATGTTATGTTCTTCTCAGACGGAAGATTTTAGGGTCGAGTTAAGCAGTCATCTTATTGTCTTTCAGAACATCGCGTGGACAACATGCCCTCCATCTACAGTACGTTTGTCGATGCCTACACCAGAACTTTTCATGATATTGCAGGTAAGCCAGCAGCATGCTTCTGCTCCGAAGGTCCCCTCAGAGTCATAAATGGAAGACTGACACAATTTCGGGGGCACGCGGCTGCAAACCGGAAGGTCGCGGGTTCAACTCCCAATGAGGTTATTGGATTTTTTTTTTCAATTGACCCAATCCTTCCAGCCGCACTATGGCCCTGGGGTCGACTCAACTTCTAACAGAAATGAGTACCAGGAATTAATTAAATAATTTTCCTGGGGAGTAAAGGGATGCCGGAGCGTAAGTCTGACAACCTTATCGCCATCTTTGAGCCAGATAATGTGGGACCCTCAACGTCTCACAACCCTATGGCCTTCACGGCCTGTTACAGGGATAGCTTTACTTTTTTTTTTTACTTTTACTGATTGAATTTAAGAGTTACTAATGAGCTGTGTGAATATGATCAGACAGCAGCATCTGTGTACAGTCTAGCCGCACCTGTTAGTATGACCGTAGAGATATCAGCACTGGGTCTACCATAACTAGCGTCCCCTGGCTTCATTTTGTGAAGAATCTAACAAAATGTTGTGTAATAATTTATGCCATTTGTATAACTTATGATAAAGCCTATCTCAACAGGCATGAATGCACAGTAATCTGTCATTTTAATTCTCTATTTATGTATTCATTTCTCCCTGCGTGTCCCACGTTCATTTCTTTTACATCCGCATGCTACCTCTTGTGTTCTTGAATAGAGTATAGTCGCCTAGTGTGGGGAAGCACAGCGCCCCATCGAAAAGGTGCTGCCGCCTACTGTCAGTAATTGCAATTTAAGGACTATTCGTTTGGTTGGCAGTACGTGCACAACAAGTGGTCTTTTTTCGTTAGGATTCAGATATTTCTGACGCTATAATAAGTTTCGCGAAACTCTACAGAAAAACGAGTCATTTATTTTGTCGTTTAGGCGGATAGTAATAAGACTAGATTATTGTTTCTGTATATAGTGTGTTTTCTGGTTGTCGGTGTAGGGTTTTTGTTTCACAGCCAGGAAAGGGAACGTGCAAATTTGTTCTGGGCTACTGACTGTAGTGGTTATCTCACTTGTTCTACAGTATAGCATTGTTTATCTAAAATGTAAAAATTCTCTAATGTTTCGTCGTGTGGTCACTATTTATTTCGAGTTACTCTTATGTAACCTGCAGTAAGACATCATCTTCGGGTCCCTTCACTTTTATAAACAGACTTCTTGGTCAGTCGAACGCCTCTGTGGTCTAGTGGTCAGAGTTTCTGGGTACAGATCCAGAGGTTTGGGTTCGATTTCCGGCGCTACCAGATTTTCTGAGAAGTGGTAGCTCTGGAACGGGGTCCACTCAGCCTCGTGAGAAATATTGAGGAGCTATTTCAAAGAAATAGCGGCTCCGGTCTAGAACACCGAAATTAACAGCCATGGGGATTCGTTTCGCTGTCCACGCGACACCTCTATCCACTAAAGTTGACACTAATTTCGGCGACAAGCTGCAGTCGCTCGGTCGGTATAGTTCGCTTGCGGACTAAAATCACGGAGTGTGTTTAGATTTTCTTCTTGGTCATTAAACTGAAGTTATTGACTTGCACGGCAGCTGGGTTTCGGCTGCTTGGAAATATTTCTGGTGTTGCATTGTTGAAGAGTGACTGGAGCTTACCTGAAGAATTATTACGAAATTTTGGCGAACTATGCAATAGGATTAATATTAACTGTGGAATGTTACTTACCGACGGAATGAGATATATGACCTTGGGGACAAGGTGGATGTGCTGACATGATGTGACACTTTGACCATTGGTTGCTGTAGTAGAATGTCTCTTTAAACCTTGGATTGACGTATTAGAGTGGTGTGATTTGTGCTTAACTTTATCTTCTGAGTCCAGAAATTATCTAATATGGAAGCTAACTAAATAAGACAGAAATTTGTTTGAATATATGGATCACATATTTTATAAACTCTTTTAACTTTGTATTTTCTTTCACTGAGAACACCACAGGGATACCTTCACAGAAACCCTCAACACAAACCTACTAGAAACAGAAACACTTTATGAGTAACCTAGAAATATATCGGGGGCTCTAAACCTAGAGATGAAAATTTCCCGATGCCGCAAATCTAAGAGAGGATTTTCAGTCTCTGTTTTTTTAAATTTCTTGAAACATAAGAAGTACTTTAGCTTTTTGTTACTTTGTACAGATCACAGGTCAGACAATTGGTTCCTGATGGGCTCACCTTGGCCTGTGAGCTTCATCATTATTTTTTATTTGTACTTCGTCAAGATCCTGGGTCCCCGTTTGATGAAGAACAGACCTGCCTTCAACGTGGACACATTCCTTCGGCTGTACAACCTGTTGCAGATAATCCTGTGTACTTGTCTATTGAAATATGTAAGTTATAATTTTGTCATAATTTCATAATTAACAATCATAATGATAGCCATAACGTCTATGTCTATCAAAGGTCCCGCTAACCTCCGATTGCTCCGGCACCTGGATCTAGGATTGCAATTCGTCAGTGCTTTTCACCAACATATTTTCTTGGGTACAATTTATATCTCATTCAAGGACTCCTATAGAGCTTCTGTTTGATTTTTTATTGCAATAGGAATTCTGTTTGGAGTAGACCAGACGTTTTAACAACTATAAAAATACTAATCGTAAATATGAAGATAATTAAATTCATTTCTTGTTTATTAACCCGGAAACTTAACAGTGCAGACGCAAGTTATAAAGTTCCGACGATTACGTGGATAGAAACAAAAAAAGAACTTACAAGTATAAACACGTAATAAGGCAACTTATGCATACATGTATGTAATAATAATTCAATTCAGTTCAATTCTTTATTATTTACATGCCGAGTCAACAGTTACAAGACCAATTACAGTCACAGCACAGTCTACATACATGGACAGACACCTACATAATGTCAAAAGAAAATTACAGGCAAGCACTGGAAGAAGAATAACATGTTGATACAGAAAATGCAAACAGACAAAAAACGAAGATGAGAAGTGGTAACAAGAATATGATAACTAAGAGCTACATAACACAGAACATTAGGAATATGAACAAATTATAATTTTAGGTTAATGAGCATAAATGTGGTTGAGAGAAACGGCCCCGACTGCAAATATGTCGAGATCTTCACCCACCGCGTTGGCAGCACAGGCGCACCGAGCAGGAAAGTGGTTATTAGAGGGACAAACACCAAACAATGAGAAGTCCCTAAGATTGCTGGCAGGAACACGAAGGCTAACGTTTTCCAAAAGGGAAGAGCAGGATTTAAGACCACGAAAGACCTGAACAACAAACAGCATCAAGGCGATGCCTCAGTTTATGTAAAGTTTGTAGACTTAATTTCTCTAAAGCATCAGTATAAGTATACAAAATACAAGGGAAACAACGATAGAAATGACGGACGCAGCTGCTGGATGCGCTCAAGCTTATTGGCATCAGTCGAGGTGATGGAGTTCCAAACTACTGAGGCGTATTTCAACTTGGACCTGACTGAAGTAAAGTATAGTACATACAGACTCTCCAGGGAGGAAAACCTGTAGGTAATGGAGCAAATAAGGCCTAAAAATCTCATTCATTCAGAAAATGTGTAATTAACATATGTGTGTGAAAAGGTAACACTGTAGCAAGTCCAATGATGTAATACGCAACATGCTGCAATAATGAAATTCTCTATTAGGTAAAATGCTGAAAATCCGTTTAATGCTGTAATACGTGCCATAGTTGATATATTCTATAGCACCTGCAATGCTGTAACACGTGTAATGCTGCAATAATTTAAAAGGCATACAATAAAGAGCAAATCCTGGAATATAATGCTGATACAAGAGATATTATCTATTACGTATACTGGTTCAGTACATGAAATGCTTTGATATGTATACTGTTTAACGCATGTGCAAAATGTGCAAAGTTCTGGCACGTGTGATGATTTAAATTGCGCAATGAGCTCTGTGCATTACCACATCTATAGCGTTAATTACCTTTCACGATCATTCAGTAGCATTCCCTATAAATAAATCTCTTTCCTAGCAATAAAGTCTGGTATGTGAAAGCTCTGAATCTTGAGTCATGTTTCTTTTTTCAGATATTAGATCTGGATTGGGGAAGGAAGTATCGCCTTTTCTGCCAGCCGCTAGATTACACCTCACCACATGGATTATACGTATGTATACAGCTCATTTCATAACTGACTAAGGAGAAGAAATAGCAGACCCAAATACATAATTGAGTACATAACTATCTTCCCAGTTAAGCGAGTACGCGGGAGAGTCATTAAAGAAAAACAAATGCAGTGACAGGCCAAAGTCATGCAATATTTTACGCTCAGCATAAAGTAATGTAGACACGTGTTTGATCAAGGATAGTTTAAAATATTTTAAATTTAATGCTTTAATTCGGTACATAAAAGGAAAGGTGATTTTGTTTGAATGTGTACACTTTGCCAGTTCTCGAACCAACGATTAGAACGATTCCGCACCCAGGAAAGTGTAAGGTCACAATAAAAGGCGGTCCAGTAAAATAAGGGCCCAGTTGGCGTGTAGCGAATAAACCTGAAAAATAGAAAAAAAAGCGATCCTGGTACACAAAATAGATACAATATACACCGTGTACCAAAACGATTAAAGAAAACTGCACCAAGTGAAGACCATGGGGCCTCATTTGGAGTCCCTTTCGTAACACCCTCCACACAGTCATAGTGGGCGTCTAGAATTCCCGACTCGCATTGCGCACAAATTTCCTCGGACTGCAAACAAAAGTTTGTCCTATTCATTCCAAACTTTCTTCTGACACACGCGAATGTCCTGCACATTTCCCTTTATAAAGGCACCCCGTTGTCTGAAACTGCTGATGCCAACGCCTCATTCTGTTGGCAGATGGGATCAATTGAAATTTTAACCGGAAGGCCGCTGAACAGAAACAACTGATTCATGCTTCGTAAGCTACAGCACACAACGCGCTTTCTCCTCTGGAGTTGCCATTTTTTT